CTCTATCTTATTTGTTATAAAGAATAAATGTTAAGTTACTAGGTTACCAATTAAAACAGATAATTAGTCATTTAAATAAATTAGCAGAAGGATTAGTATTTCTGATTCTGATATTCTTTTGGAAAAAGTGAAATGTTTTAAGTCATTAAGTTAGTTTTTGGATCTAAAAGAAAATGGAAATTTGGTGAAATATGGCTGAGAGCACCACTTCTTGAAATTTGGACCAAATGTCCAACTAAAAACATGGTAGCAAGCAAGACGTAGAAGTCCAAGCTTTAAAATATGTGTTCAGGAGCCTGCCACAGACGGCAAGTTCTCTTAAWTTTTTCTCACTGAGTAAGCCGCTTTGTTTTATTTAAACTTTTACTTTTAGTTCTGCGCTCTACCGCTGCCAATCAACGTTGGTCCAAGACAGACAGCCACAGCAACTTGGCTAAATCTGTGGCTCATGTTACAAATTTAGCTGGCTCATATACTGTATCTTTCTAACCTCTATCTGCACCTTTGATTATTGTAACATCAGGTAAGCACATGCCACCACATCCATCGTAACAACGTTGTCTGAGTGAAGAAGAAAGGAATGGATTCTAAAACACTGCCAAAGCCTGGATTTTCACATTGAGGATGAAACCCAGACAGCCAAATAATAGGCTTTGGCATGCTGCGAGCAGAGCATGTTAATTTGTTTTGTAATGACCGTGAAGAGATGTGGAGTCAAGACCAAGACGCGCGGTGGGGAGTGCCAGATGATCACATACAAAACGCCAAGATTTCACTGCTTGTGTGTTTTAGTCTGTATGCCCAGGTGTGACTTTGAGAGAACGAGTTAAAGATTCAGTTGAAGGGTAGATGACTTGAAACTGGAAGGTCACAGGTTCATCCCTGCCAAGCCTATACAGTATGTCGTGGTGCCCTTGAGCAAGACACATTTTTGTTAACTTCACATAGCTGCCAGATGTTCTCTTGGGTCTTTCTCACATGTGATAGATTAAATGCAGAGCACAAATGCTATTATTGTATGGGAATATGCTAAGATGATAAGAAATACCAATAAAATCAAATACAGCTACAGGGGTTAGACAATGAAATTGAAACACCTGGTTTTAGAACATAACATCCCTTTCAGACAGMTTCCTCTTGCATCCACACTTAATCCTGTTGGATGTGGTTCATCCTTCTTGGTGGTATGTTGACATTACCCTGGATACYGTGGCTCTTAATACATCCCAAAGACTTGCTGTCTTGGTCACAGATGCACCAGCAAGACATGCACAAACAATTTGTCCTCTTTTGAACTCTGGTATGTCACCCATAATGTTGTGTGTATTGCAATATTTTCAGCAAAACTGTGTTCTTACCCTGCTAATTGAACCTTCACACACTGCTCTTACTGGTGCAATGTGCAATTAATAAAGATTGGCCACTAGGCTGGTCCAATTTAGCCATGAAACCTCCCACACTAAAATGACAGGTGTTGCAGTTTCATTGTCTAACCCATGTACGATCACATCCACTAATCATGAAGTTCATCTTAACATTGGAGTTGCTCYTTTATCAGTGTGAAATTACTGGGAAAAAAAAACCAACTCCAAGGATTTAGAAAAATAAATGGATGCACAGGTTAAAATTGATTTTGAATTGTCTCTAATCCACACAGGATCATAATTATACACACTGGTGAATGTGGACTAGGTTTAAAAGTTGTGTCTTTGCCAGGAAACCAACCAATTTAAATGAATACAATGGTACCAATTCTGGCCAGGAGAGGGGTCAAATCACAATCAAGGTGATGGGAACAAAAAGCATATGGTTGATATGCAACATGCTAAGGGACATTTAATCAAATATAATGTAGGTATATATTTGACCCGGTAAGTATTACTTTGACCCCATGTGAAAAAAAAAAAGACGTTAAAAGTCCAAATGTATACCATTAAAGGGATCCATGATTRGTTATACATTAGACTTTCTTTGATAAACATATATTTTAACTGTAAAATAAAGACTGTAAAAATACTGTAGGATGTTCAGTTTTTATCACTTTTAAACTAAAAGTTTAAAAATATATTACATGGACGGGGCCATTTTATTTACACGCAAAGCATTATGGGTAAATGAGGACATGGATAGGTCCTCAGTGCGAGGCTGCTACCAAGCTATATCCACCCTGAAGGTTAATCTTGGACAATATCTGATTATTAGCTCTCTTAAATGAAACCAGAGAGGGTTTACAGAGAGAAGGAAGAAATGACAGCCTGCAACTGAAAATTTAAATGGAGGACAACAGAGCTGCTTCTTGAAAGAAGAACCCTAGCTTATCCGGTTTGCTTTAGCCTCGACGCTATCACCATATATACAGCGGGTAAAATAAGTATTGAACACGTCACCATTTTTCTCAGTAAATACA